GATTTCAAGATGCCCTGTAATCCTCATTTTTGTTTTTAGGTGGGTATTACATGGAGCTTCACAGACAAGTTAAACACTTGTGCCTGCCGTGTATCAGTTATGTGATCTCAGGCAGGTGGCTTCACCCGTGGGGTGTCCTTTTCTGTAAAATCAAGACTAGACATGATCAGGAAACCCATCAGTTGGATGAATAATCATTCCCTACTTTTAGGGATAAGATATTTGGGGCATCTGCGGGGCTCAATCGTTATGGGTCTGCCTTCAACTCAGGTCGTGATCCCAGGGTCCTGGGATCAAGCCCAGCATCAGGTCTCCCTGCTTGGCTGAGAGCCTGCTTCTCTCTCTTCCACTCCCCCTGCTTGTGCTCCCTCTCTTCCGCTCTCTCTCTCTCTCTCTCTCTCTGTCAAGTAAATAAATAAATAAATCTTTGGAGGGAAAAGGAATAAGATATTTGTGAGAAAAAGAAAAGAAAAATACTGCTAATAAAATAACAGAAACTCATGTTACTTGCTTTGTGCCAGAAGCCTATTCTAAGCACCTGCCACGTGTATGTTCATTTCATCCTTGAAATAGCCCTATAAGGAAGATACAACTAAGATACTAATTTCATACATAACAACAGTGGGACACAGAGAGGGTACATAACTTACCCAAGGTCACACAGCTGATAAGGGGCAGAACCAGGACATGAATTCAGGCATTCTGGTACCCGAGTCTGTTGAGAGTGGATTTTGTACCTTAGATCAGCCCTTACTAATTTGTTGTCAATAAATCTGAATACACCTTCCGAGGATAATTGGAAAACTACCCCCATGTTATGGAACTCTTTGGTTCTTGGCTAATTTATGTTCCTAGAAGAACAAACTGGAAGCTCTGTATGTCTGTGATTCTGGGATCATGCAAAGTACCTGGAGTTTGAAGTCAGAGAAATAGTTTAACGTGCCAGCTCACTCTTTTCTGTGATGTGTTAGGTGTACTTAGCCGTGGAACTTTCTGGTCTTTGGCTCCAACCACCTATCGGAGAAAATGAAAGAGAAGAAGGAAAAGGGACCGAAACTCAGCAGATAATGTTAACCCCTGAGACATGCACGCAGGAGCTGTCATCCTGGCCTCTGGGAGTGTGGCTTGGTGTTAGTTAGCTTCAGGATTGAAAGAGGATAGAGGGGGTCCCTGGGTGATTCAGTTGGGTGAGCATCTGACTCTTGTTTTCAGCTCAGGTCACGAACTAAGGGCCGTGGAATGGAGCCCCACCTTGGGCTCTTTATTCAGTGGGGAATCTGCTTGAGATTCTCTCCCTCTCCCTACCCCCATAAATAAATAAATAAATCTTTTTTAATAAAGAAAAGAAGAAGAAGAAGAAGGGCCTGCCAGGGCATAGGTGGGGGAATTTGGATCCCCATATAGCAGGTCAGGTGAGTTACCTGGCTTCTGGAGGGAAACCAGACCACCAGACAAAGCTTAGACCCATTCGCTAGACAATCCTGACTGGAGTTAGGCACAGATCACAGCCCTGTGGTTATGTGGGTATAGGTCCCCAGCTTGCTCTTTTTTAGGGAAGAAACTCACATTTTGTCCCCACCCCTCAGTGGGGTTCAAGCTGCCTAAGCTGTCTGGCAGAAAGGAAAGAGCTAGTTTTGGAGTCCGAGAGCTCTGGATTAGATATCAGTTCAGCCATGCGACCTTGGACAAGTCACTGAACCTCTCTGATCCCAGGTCTCTTCGTTGTAAAGCACTGATAACAGCTCCTGCCTTGTGGGGTTTATTGAGGAGTGAGTACTGAAGTAAAGTCCCTGGCATATTGTAGGATTCTAAATAGTCTATCTGTGCTCACTACCATACTGGCCTGCAGGCTCACTTGGACTTTGTGCTTGGCTGAGTCTGAGAACTGAAGGCTGCTAGTGTAGGAGGCTTTGGGCACAATGGGCCCCGAGCTCAAAGAGAGACCACAGGCCTAGTCAGTGCATCTCTGAGATATGATTTCCTCATTGTGATAATTAATGCTTCTTTCCTACTTTGCCAGATGGTTAGAGGAGAACACAAAACTGAGTAACCTGGAAAGCATCATACAAAAATTGTTATTATTATAAAAAGAATTGCAGTAACATTGATTAACATGTTGAGTGTTTCCTCCCAACACTAGTTTAAGTGCATCCCATGTGTCCCAATTTAATTTAAATCCTCTAGCAGTTTTGCCTGGTAGAATCCTACTTATTATTCCTATTTTTCGGTTAAACTGGGGTATGCAGAGTTTAAGTAACTTGCCTAAGGTCACTCAGAATTCAGGCCTGACCTGGGATTCAAACCCGGTTAGCAGAGTTCCAGAACCTGCTAGTGGAGTACTAATTACTATGCTTATATTGGCATTGCTATTTCTGTGTTTCTTTTCTACCGAGAACATAGAGTAGTTAGCCACGCTCTGGGTAGCAGAAAGGGCCGTGAGGCCATGATGGCAGGTCCATAAAGCCACCGTGGCATTAGTCTCTCTACTCTCTGGGCATACCTCAAACGTTTTAGGAACACATGTGCTCCTATCTGTGAGCAAAAACATTCATAGATTGAGTATATACGTATATAGACTAGAGAAACAAGTTCAGAGATAAAGATCAGAATATAAATGGAAAGAAGCAAGACATTAGCGAAATAATTTATGGGCTCATGATTGCATTGTGAAGGATAATTATTCATTGGGTTAAGTGGGATGAAAGTGTCATTCTGGTAACACAGTGAGTGATAGTCATACTTAATCTGTTTTCTACCACTCACATAAGATAAATGTCATTCACATGTGTGATGGACTCCTGGGGGGCTGCCCAGACTTTGACATCTCCCCCCAGATATTTTTATGGGAAATTAAGGTACATAATGAATTATTTATTTTTGGCATTTATGAAAGCATTTTATAGGAATTTGGGTGCTTAAATTAGCCACTTAGCTCTTTCCCCAAAAAAGCTTATTTTTTTTAAAAGGTCCATTAAATTCAACAAATTTATTAGGCTCTACCTATACTGTGCCATACGGTAGCTTCTAGCCACGTGTGGCTGTTAAAATTTAAATTTAAAAATTCAGTTCTTGGGATGCCTGGGCGGCTCAGTCAGTTAAGTGGCTGTATTTGGCTCAGGTCCTGATCCCAGGGTCCTAGGATAGAGTACTGCCTGAGGCTCCGCTCAGTAGGGAGCCTGCTTCTCCCTTTGCCTGCCATTCCCCCTGCTTGTACATTCCCTCACCCTCTCTCTCTCTGGCAAATAAATACAAAACATCTTTTTAAAAAATTCAGTTCTTCAGTTGCTCTAGTTCTGTTTCATGTGCTCAGTAGCTTACCTGTAATTGGTAGCTGCCATTTAGACAATGCAGATTGTACAACATTTCTGTCATTACAGAAAGTTCTTCTGGACAATATTCCTAGGCAAGGATATACTAAAGATACAACAATGACAAAACATTCTAGATGCCTGCCCTTATGGGCTTATAGTCCCACAGAGAGGACAACTGTTTAACGAGCCATCCCAGGTGGGGGGTCAGGGAAGGACAGAAGGCAATGGGAGGAGGGTATGGCCGAGGAGATAGACATGAGAATGGGTGGTCAGGGAACATGAAGTCAAAGAAAACTCCTCATACATGAACAACAGACCAATTTAAAAAAAAAAAAAATATATATATATATATATACATATATATATATTGAACTTAATTTCTTAAATAGTAAATTACTTTTTCTGTAACTGGATTCTGCAACTAATATCAATATGAGGTTTAAAATATATTATTGAAGAATAAACTTAAATAAAATTTACTTCATTATTAAAATGTTTAAGAAATCTCTAAAGAAGTCAAATGCAAAATGTACCTTTCAGTCTGATTCTATTAATATGCAATTCTAGAGCAGACAGAAATAGTCTGTGATGCTAGAAATCAGAACTGCCGGGCTCCTGGGTGGTTCAGTGGGTTAAGCCTCTGACTTTGGCTCAGGTCATGATCTCAGGGTCCTGGGATCAAGCCCCGCATCGGGCTCTCTGCTCAGCAGGGAGCCTGCTAACCCGTCTCTCTCTGCCTGCCTCTCTGCCTACTTGTGATCTCTCTCTCTGTCAAATAAATAAATAAAATCTTTAAAAAAAAAAAAAAAAAAAAAAAAAGAACTGCCATTTGCCTAGAATGGAGATGGGAAGTGCAGGCAGAAGCAAGGATTGACTACGGAGGATCTTAGGATGTTCTCTATCTTGGTAAGAGCATAGGTTACGTGGAGAGATGCTTCTGGAACCATATAACTAAAGATGGGTACATTTTCTAAAATGTAAATTATATCTCAATTTAAAGTTGAACATATAGAATTATATATTGTAACATACTAATGGTTGCTATGAGTCACATTATGAAACTCTTCATTGCCTCATTACTTTGTCTGCTGGTGACCTGGCTAGCCTCCAGAAGCCTTCTTTCATCAGGCGGGAAGATTTTCAGCATCCTTCCTATCTGGTTCTGTGTGGATATAAATATGTTGTTCCTACTCTTCCAGTCTTTCATGCTTTCTTTCTTATCAAAAGTGGACAAGCTGGAAGGTTCTTTGCCGGCTTGTTAAAAGAGTGGTGTCATTTTGGGGTGGAAAGATTTGAGATGAGTTTTGTAGCTTTTTCTTCTTCACAGTATTGTTTGAGTCTATCACAAGGACTGTGTATTTTTCTTAGACTTTGCAATACAAAATCTCATTCTGTCTTGGCTTGGAAAGGACGTTTCCTTATCCATGGGTTACCATATGGTCATTTGAAAACTTTGGGTTTTCAGTGAGGATTAATGACAAGATGTTAGCAGCAGGCTCTGTTGGGTGATTGTTCCACAGTCATGGGATCTTGGTAAATGTGTAATCTCGTGCCCGGTCTATCTCCACCATGCCCCTCCTGTGCAGTGTCTCTGGGGTCCTGGGGTGCACTGGAGTGGATCTGGGTCACGTGGAGGTGCCTGTTAGCCGTCTGCCCCTCTCACCTGCCTCCTTCGCCCTGTGCTCGCAGATTCTTACCTGACCCTCGATGAACCGATGAATAACATCACCACGTCCCTCGGGCAGACGGCGGAACTGCACTGCAAAGTCTCTGGGAACCCACCTCCCACCATCCGCTGGTTCAAAAATGACGCCCCTGTGGTACAGGAGCCCCGGAGGATCTCCTTCCGGGCCACCAACTACGGCTCCAGGCTGCGGATTAGAAACCTCGACACCACGGACACAGGCTACTTCCAGTGTGTGGCAACGAATGGCAAGAAAGTGGTTTCTACCACTGGAGTCTTGTTCGTCAAGTTTGGTAAGCCCTCTTCTGCCTGGGAGGGCCTCCACCGGGGTGAGGAGGGAGGGAATGGGCACGTACTAAAAATGTCCTGTGTGCCCAGAAACTGGGACCATTTCTAAAGCCAGTCCAGGTGCACCCATTTTACAAGTAAGTAAACCAAGGCCAGTGGTTAAGGACCATGTGCAGAGTTGCCCAGTTAGTAAACAGCAGAGCAGGTCTGTCTGGTGCCACAGCCCTGCTCGAAACCGTCATGCCAGTGAGAGAGCAGAGGGGAAGGTCTATGGCACGTATGCCCCCTCATCTGTCCAGCTGCCAGCCAAGACCTCTCCCGCTTCAGCCTCCCACGGCAAACCCCCCGTGTAGTGAAGAATGCCTGCTGTAGTGACTCATTTGTCAGCACTTGTTCTAGCGCTTTCCTGAACTGTGGGCTCTAGACAGGTTCTTACTGGTACGTTTTTTCTGTAGAGGTGATTGTGGGGAACCAAAACAAAATAATAAATCCCAGAAAAATAAATATCACCTCACGGTGGTTGAGAATTTTCATCTGTGATGGTTTGACTATACCCACGCTCACCTTCCAGTGACCAAGCCTGACTGTTTCTTTCGTCTTCCTTTCATTTCTCCAGGGCCCCCTCCCACCGCAAGTCCAGGATCCTCGTAAGTACTTTTATCTCCTTATTTGTTCCTGTTCATCTGTGTCGCTTTCAGGTATTTCTCCTGAAATACTCCTGAAAAAGGTTTTTAGGGCAAAGGCAATGTTGTCCTCTGCTTGAGCCAAAATGCTGTTTCCAGATTTCCTTGCCTGTTGCCCTACCCTCATTCCATGTGGCTTTTTCTCTGATACGAAGATTCACAAGAGAATGGCCCTGGCACTAACCTCAAGTGTGGTTGATTCTCTCACTGATTCTGAGCGTGTTGATGAAAACAAAAATCTACTTACATCTTCTATTTTAAAATCAATCTAACATTTAGTTACAACAACGATTTGGTCAAATCAAACAAGAAAATGATACAGGGCAGGGTTAGGCCTGGAGCCTCCAAGGATCTCTTCTGTGTTTCTGCACGCATTGCATTCCTGATGCTCTAGAATTATGGAACAGGCCAACCGTTAGGCAATCACTTTCTTGGTATTCCCTTTAAAAAACTCAGAGGCAGGGGTGCCTGGATGGCTCAGTGGGTTAAGGCCTCTGCCTTCAGCTCAGGTCATGGTCCCAGGGTCCTGCGATCGAGCCCCGCATTGGGCTCTCCACTCAGCGGGGAGCCTGCTTCCTCCTCTCTCTCTGCCTGCCTCTCTGCCTACTTGTGATCTCTCTGTCTGTCAAATAAATAAATAAAATATTTAAATAAATAAATAAATAAAAATAAAAACTCAGAGGCAGAAGTTCTGACTCATACAGGAGAGGAAGGAAAGCCTGCTGCTGGGACTAAGAGTTGCATGGGCTTGATTCATTTTGAGTCCTTTTGTTAGTGGACTGTAAAGATCCCATTTCTTAAACTAATGCCATTCATGATGCATTTGTCTTTTCCTCTGGCTAAGGAGTTCCCTTCCTTCACTGTCACAGCATCCACTTGGGGCATTTTTCTTTATGTATATTTTTACCTGGGGGAGAAGAGCCATTTATTAAAACCCTCACTCTGCAAGAAAATCTATCCCATGTTTTGTAGACTTCGGAAATAAAATTCACTGGCTTTACCACAAGAGCATCAGAATGTCTGACCTAGACTACACCGACGGCAAATATAACAGCCACTGAATTTGTTCTAATCCCCTCTGTGCCACTTAATTATAGTGTGGGATATTTTAATATATTTGTGTGTGCCTGGAGGGCCTGGTGGCCCACAGTCCCATTAATAAAACAAGTAATGGGTAAAAATAAACATTGGCCTTCAGCCACCCCGTTCTGCTATTTTGTCAGTCGATTAAAGGCAACTGTAAAAGAGCCTTTAAAATCACCCAAGTGCTAATTGCATTCTACTTATCTAGGTAGAAAATGTTGATTGATCTTAAAACAGGTCAGAAACATGGTCACTCCGTGTTGCATTCTTGAAGTTAATTTTTTTTTTTTAATGATCTCACTATTGGCCGATATGTGGAATCCTTTTGAAGTCTTGTTTAAACAAAGATTAAAACTTGCGTTACTTGCTGTAAAAATGCTTCCCACCCCTGTGCCTTATTTGTTCCTGTTAATCTGTGTTTCAAATGGGGCAGATAATCTGTGTTCGAGGTGGATGAATTTGGTTCACTAATCTGCCTTTACTATGAAGCACCCCGGGCTGTTGACGTTCTGACTGTTGTATTTGCATGAGAGAATTCCTTTTTTATTATCAAAATTATTTTTAAGCATTTCTATATCCTTCCTTCTTGAAATTTTCATTCTTCCTTTGCTACCGTCTTTCTGATGAGCCCAGTCGGAGTTTCTCATGGTTTTTAATTTTATGCAAAGATAGTACGGCGTTCGTGAGCTGATGTCTGGAGAGAGGATATTGATATCCTGAAAGATGCTCAGTCACAGCTGAAAGTATCCTTTGATGTCAGGCCCTTCTGTTTCATGTTAGCAATCTGATTACCCATCAGCTTAGTCAGCGAGAGCATGAAATGTATAGCCAGTCGCCATGTTTGCTGGAGGGAGCTATAGTAAAATATAGTTGAAGTTGGAAATCCCAGGGGACCTTTTGCAGGTCAGTCTTTGTCCTTAGGCATCGACAATGACATTTTCCCTTTCTTTTCTTTTTAAAAATATGTATTTATTTACGTTAGGGAGAGAGAGAGCACACAGGGATAGTGGGGGGAGGGCAGAGGGAGAAGGAGACAGAATTCTCCAGGAGACTCCTTGCTAAGCACAGAGCTCCAGGTGGGGCTCTATCACGACCTTGAGATCATGACCTGAGCTAAAATCAAGAGTCAGATGCTTAACCGACAAAGCCACACAGGCATCCCAGCAGTTGGTGGGGATTTGTGTGTGTGTATTTTATTATTATTATTATTATTATTATTATTATTATTAGGTTCAGTTAGCTCAGTTGGTATTTTGATGCACTTTTTTTCTCTTTTCCTTAGAAACCAGTGACCTCTCCTACTTCTCCTTTTCTCAGCTGCCACCACTTAACCCTGTTCCTAAGTGTTCTTCTCTGAGACTAGGTCCCAGATAGAATGCTAGTCTCCTTTCCCTCATATCCCCCAGCAAGCAGGCAAACCTGGCCACAAGAGGACAGGTAGAACCCAACAAAGTGATAGCCAGGGTGACTATCTCGGCTTTGACGATTGCTCTGCAAGCCTTATATCGCCGGTAGGAGTGACATGTATCTGTAACATCGCTCTGTTTACTTGTGGGTGGCACAGCGGAGCCCCCGCAAAGAAATACAGTGCAAGCCCATGACACAGCCTTAACACTGGGAACAGTGAAATGTATTAGTATTAGGAACCTGGTGAGAGCCACGTGCCACTTAAGACCACAGAGCCACACAGCACCCAGATGAGAATGACTTGCAAGGTGCTTGAGACAATGGCCCAGGAAGGCACAGGTAGTAAGACACTTGTCACCCTTGTAGGGACTACATCATGTTTCCATGTGAAGCTTGCAGAATGGCATTTCAGGGTATAGTAGGAGCAAGTCTGAGACGTTAGTTTGGCTTCTGTTTATAGCTTCAGGCTTTATTTCTTCTGTCATTGCTGGGTCCTGGCCCACCCCTGACAATTACAGGGCCTGGGGCACGAATACAAGTGGAGGCCCACATACCGCGTGTCTAAATATTTAAAAGTTATAAATCAAGCTAGCAAACTGCTAAATGAAATATGTTCTGTCCTCCCACATTGACAAATATACCTTCATAATGACAAAATCAAAAAATACTTAAAAGTTATGGTTTGTATATGACTAAAAGCCAAGAACTATCAAAAATGACTACTTTTAATCATTATTATGCTTCTCTGGGTGTTCTTTTCATGGCTAGATATTATGTATATATAATGATATATATATATATGATTCATAGATTGTTATATATTAGTTCCATTAAAATTTTTTATTGCCTTCAGTTCAGCAAAATGACTATCTCTGTTATTTTACACATTTTTCCACAAGATTTTAGCATGTATTCTTTTCACAACAATGTCAAATTAGATAAACTTTCTTGAGTTATTGTAATTTTTACTTTTTAAAACTAATTTTAATTTGAAGAAACTGTACTCCACTGAGCCAGTAACTATAATTATCAATGAAATTCCTAAAGCAATAGTTCAATTTGCTAACAATTATAGCAAATGAAGTAAGAACTTTATATATCATATTCAAACATAATAATAGGGTCATGGGGGCGCCTGGGTGGCTCAGTGGATTAAAGCCTCTGCCTTCGACTCAGGTCATGATCTCAGGGTCCTGGGATCAAGTCCTACATTGGGCTCTTTGCTCAGGGGGGAGCCTGCTTCTCTCTCTCTCTGACTGCCTCTCTGCCTACTTGTGATCTCTCTCTCTCTGTCAAATAAATAAACAAATCTTTAAAAAAAAATAATGGGGTCATGTGATAAATAATCACATGATTTCACAATGTATTACAAAATATAATAATTAACCTATATTATAATATATATTCTATATGTTATTATATTATATATTATTATGTAATATATTATGTATGGGGTCATGATAAGTAATCACATGATAGTATAATTATATTATAAAATATTATATTAATGTATCATACTATTCTAAAATATAATATATGATTTCATCATATAAATCAGCATCATGCTTCACATATTATCCTATACATGCACAAATTTAAGAACAATACGAGCTGCTTAATATATTAGTTTTTTACAGCTACTATAACAAAGAATATTGAATTGACTTAAACCACAGAAAGTTACTGTCTCGCAGTTCTAGAAGCTAGAAATCCTAGACCAAGACGTTGACAGGGTTGGTTCTTTCTGAAGGCCGTGAGGATTGCTCTGTTCTTCTGGCGACTTGCCATAATTTGTTGTCTTGTTGATACATCATCTTGATTTCTGCCATGATATTTACATGGCATTCTCCCTCCAAGTGCATGTCTCCAAATTTCCCCTTTTTATAATGACGTCAGTCATAATAGGACCCACTCCAATGACCTCATTTTAATGTAATTACCTCTATAAAGACCCTATTTCCAAATCAAGTCACATTTTGAGGTCCTGGGGATTAAGCCTTCAACATATGAATTTTGAGGGAACACAATTCAACTCATAACACTGAGTACTGCAGAATTATTCTCAGCCATGAGAACAAAATCTTGCAAATGTTATTCTTTTTTAAAGGCCTTATTTATTAGAGAGAGAGTGGAGGAAGGGCTGAGGGAGAAGGCGAGGGAGAAAAGGGAATCCCAAACAGACTCCCCACAGAACATGGAGGCTGATATAGGTACGGCTTGATATCACAACCTACGAGATCACAACCTGAACCAAAACCAAGGTTAGATGCTTAACCAACTGAGCCACCCTGGTACCCCAATCTTGCAGATATTATTTTAATTTGTAAGAACTTTCAGAATTTAAAGAAATGGAAAGAAAAACAAGGAAGTAGATGCTTGGCAGTATTGGGAATGGTAGTTTGTTGTGCAGGCATACACTGAGGAAGAATTTGACAAGTTGATTATCTTTTCTCTTACTGAAGTGCTTTTGTCAC